GAGCCACAAGTGCCACAGGAACCTGTGGAAGCTGTGAGCGCAGCTACTGAGGAGACGGCGCCGTCTCCCCCTGCAACTGCAGTGCCACAAGAGCCGCCAGAGCCACCAGAGCCGCCAGAGGCGCCGGCCCCTGCCGCACCTCCACAAGAGACCACTGAGGAGGCCGAGGGGACAGAGGTGGCCGAGTCTTCGAAGGCTCAGGAGCTGCCGTTTCTTCCCAGCGATGCGGCCGAAGCCGGGAAGAAGGCGCTTGCGCCCCACTGGTCGCAGCGAGGTGGGGATCTGTCGAAGATAGGGTCGCGGATAGGAGGACACCTGAATGGGACACCCAGCTGTGAGAAGCCGCCATGCACCACCATAGAATCGCATGAGAACCTTCCAACGCCCAGGTGGGAAGTGGCAGACGCGGGGGTCGAGGCTCAGCAGTGACGAGGAAGGTGAGCTCGATGATGACGAGGAGGTGCCGCAAACACCGAGAGAGAACACCATGAGAAGGATCAGCAGCAGTGTCATCCAACAGCTACAGCGACAACAATTCCGAGAACAACAGCAACTAGACTAGCTTCCAAGCAAGATGCCGACATAACAACAAGAGCGACAACGACGACCAGTAGGAAAACGAGAACGAGGACAAGGCGGAGCAGAAGCAGCAGGAGGAGAAGGAGGAGGAGNNGAGGAGGAGGAGGAGCAGGAGGAAGGAGGAGGATACCAGACTCATTTCAATTATCACTTCAGTCAGAAGCATGCCCTCATGTTTACGCTCCGTCTCCCCATAGAACCCACGCATGGTAGCTAGAATGGCCATCAGTTCGTCGTGGTCTCAAGACTACAACTTGTTCGTACTTGCCATACTCATCGAAATCACAACCCCTGGGAATGGCAAACGACTCAACTAAAGAAACGCAGGTGTGATCCGTCGTTTTCAATCAGAGGTTTCTCAGCATGATGCGCTTTCAATCTTCCATGCGTGGGGACGAAGCTGCAAATTCCTGACCCGACCCTGAAATGGGGGTTTCCGAAAA